AAGTTCTTCCAAAATCCTATAGGAGGGATCCAGTGTAATCTTTTAAAGTAATACCAGCTGAAAAGGTGAATAAAAACAGAAAATGTGAGGCAAGAAGACCAGCTGGAAGTAATTGTTCTTGATGCCATTCCACAAGCAGAAAGAGTAAATGCAAATATGGAAATGATACTAACACCGTTTCCCCCCAAATAAGACCTAACCTGAAAATAATCCTTAGTATGATTTTTCAGGATGCTCGTAATATAAGCCCTACCCCCCAAAATAAGTCCCAGTTAAGTGAAACCCCGCGCCTCCACCATTGTGCAGCAATCTGAAGAAGATGACATGACTGTATTTGAATAAATGTAGATTGTTGCTTTTGAGAAAAAATATATCCCCTGAGAATAAGCCCTGATGTGTTTTTTGGAGCAATAATTAAAATAAGACCCTGTCTGATTTTCAGGGAAATGTGGTACGGTGGCTTTCCAGCCTGCTTCGATTTTTGAGCATTGGCTTAGCCCTTTGGACTTCTCAGAAGCTAACATAGCAAGAATCACAGTTGTGTCACATTTACAACAAAAACAAAGTTAGGGCTGACTTGTCAAAACAAAGCAAGATTCAAAAGCAGCAGGCAGGCAATACCTTTAAGGGGGGCAACCATATTTCCGAAATACAATGCCAGATTTGCTCATCAGAGTAGGTGGCTTTAAAGGGGTGGTGGTGGTGGAGAAGGCCTGGTAGTCCAAAATGTTGTTAAATGTTTTAAACGGTGAGGTCTGTAGTTAAACGTGGTGCCAAGGTGGAGAGTGGGAACTAGATGTGCCACCGATAGGTTTGCAGGTAGCACAGGACATTACCTATGCCTGATAGGATAAAAACAAAAAGGTGGATATATTTGGAAATGTAAGGCTGTGTGATACCTTTTTAAAAATCACCAGTGAAAAAAATCAAACAGATTGCAAGCTTTTTTGGAGAAAAATTCAGCTCCATCAGGCTTTAGCACGACCCCTTAATGGATAGTGCAGAAAAACTGTGGACAAGAGTTGAAAAACTGTAGGCATACACACATCTGTGAAGAGTGGTATCAGCCCTTTTGGAGGTTGTGGCCTCAAGCATCTTCACAGCATGGTTTGGGACTTTTACACCCCACTCTTGAGACCAAAAAAGGCTTCAGAGTCCAGTCGCCCCTCAGACATCTGCCCCTAGACTGGCAACTGAAAGACAAGTCCAGTCGCCCCTCAGACATCTGCCCCTGGCCGCCTGTGTGCCTCTAGCCATGCCACATAGGACACTGTATAGAAATGCATGGCCTCTTTGAATGGAAATGACCAAAAATGACCTTTCTCTCTTTACAGATTTCAAGCCTTGAAACGCAGCATTTTGGATTGTGCCAGAGATCCTCGGCTCTGTTGGGTGTCGAATCACCTAAAGGGTACACATGACCTGAGCTGCAGACCTTTCACTTTAGTGACCACCAGATGAGAGTACGAGATGTCTTGCAGGAAGGTACATCCACCCTTGATGCTTTCTGTGTACTACTAGACTACTGTACCATATTGATATTAAAGGGGACCATACACTGGCTGTCATCAAGAGACACGTTTTGAACTGTATCCTCTGTCTTCTGCTATCTCCGCCATTGCATAAGAGGCCTGCGCTCAGCTACATGTATGGCCAGTTCTCCCGTTTCATGTTCTCTGCACCACTGTTTTGGTTGTCGGGTGTTCACCAGGCCACTTTGAGGAAGGAGTAAGTTAAGCTAGCAAGTGCAAATTGGAAATCTCACTGGAAATTGGCCAATAACGCCTTCAGAGAACTACTGTATGGTGTAATCTTCAGGTGCTAACTTCCTGCCTGGCGTAAAATCTGTTTAACTTCTGCGCATTTCACTATGTTACCCCCCCCCGCTACTGGAAGCGCCTACTCCTGGTGGTGTCCCTTGTTGCAAGAAAAGCGTCTGCCGGTTCTACCCAAACGTAGCCCCAACTTCGCTTCCCACCAACTTCGTTGCCGTTGTGTCCTGCGAGTTGCGCCTTGTTGCAAGAAAAAGCGTCTGCCGGTTCTACCCAAATGTAGCCCCAACTTCGCTTCCGACCAACTTCGTTGCCGCCCTTCCTCGAGCGAAGAGTGGCCCGGAGCTGCCGCTGAGGCAAGAGCGGCCCCGCCCCATCCAGCCCGCCCGCCGCCCCCTTTGAGGACTCCAGAAACGAGTCGGGGCGTCCGGACCCCGACGGACCAGCCCCACTCCATTACTCAGGCGAAGGCGGGATTTCCGCTGTCACGTTTCTGGAGTAGCGAGCCCTCGGGAGGACTTCCCCTCTCAGGGCCTGGCTGCTCAGGAAAGGTGGCTCACGCTGGGGGGGGGGGGGGGGAGAGAGAGAGCTGTGGTTGGGCAGAGCAGTGCGAGAAAAGCCCCACCAACGGAGTAAAAAAAGGAAAAAGGAACGGGTTGCGAAACTGGGCTCCTTGTCTGGGAAACGTCCTTGCCTGTTCGAGTCCCACTGACGAGAAACACCGGCGCCACGCCCCCCCATTCCTTTTATAAGACCCACGACCTTCTCCACGCTTAATTGGAAATAAAGTTCCATTGAAATCAATGCTTGCCTCTATACACGTAGGTAGCTGAAACCGGACTAGTTTCCAAATAAGACAGGGCAGGACTGATTTGAGTAGAGATTCTGCCCCCGCCTCCGCGCCACTCTGCCCGCAGAAGTTTGTGGGGTGTGGGTTTTTTTGGGTTTTTTTTTGTTTGTGTTTTTTTACTGGTTAGGGGGCCCAGCCTGGTGGGGGGAGCACAAAACATGCGTGCCTTTAAAGCACGCTGGTTTCCTCCCAGCCCCGGAGGATCTCGTTGCCGGCCGGCTGCACGCGCGAGGCGGTACGAGGAGTCGCGGAATGCGAGGCAGGACTTAAAAGGACAGGCCCGCCCTGAATTCCACGCCGATTTTCAGAGAGATGGGGTCAGGCGTGGAATGAGGTCCAGAAACCCGTGTTCGCTGAGTTTAGGCTAGGACAGCGTTCCTCCTGCGGGAAGATCGGCTCCGGGTACACGAGAAAAAACTGTACGGAGGAACGATAGGTTTTGTTACACTAACTTTCCTTAATCGGTTGCGTGGAACTAGCGAATAAACGAAGAAGAAACCGGATAAACGTTTATCAGATCGAATCTCAGTTTTTAGCGTAGAAAACAGCTGAACAGTAATATCACGCTTATGTTGGTGTTATTTCTTCACCGGCCTCTGTTTGTATCACTAAAGTTTAAGGGCTCGTACTGGTGTTTCCTGCATCCGAGGAGAACGGGCAAAACGGGACCAATAGATTTGCAGACATAGTTTGTCAGCTGAGCGAAGGAGGAACGGCTCCGGAGCGCATTCATTCCTCCGGGAGGTTGCTTGGGAAACACGCGGAGGTTCTTCGGGTTTGGGGGGGAAAGGGGGGAGGCCAAAGGTTGGACGGCAGGCTGGCGCTCCCATCCCCGCGGCTGGTCGGTGTTGGAGGGCTGGGCACGGCCCGCTCTCAGGGTGGGTGTCCCTCTACCGTACCGTATTAACTGTGGTAGAGGCGCTCCCTCCTCCGGGTGGACAGGGAAGGAGTGGCAGAGCTGATCTCGTTGCAAGCAGCGTTTCTGCAGCAACACCAGGGACCCAACTTCCTGGTGAAACTGTCTCCGGACTGGACGACGGCTGGGGGGGGGGGGGGGGGGGGGGTGGAGAGGGAAAGGTGAGAATGGAGCGCGTGGCTGAGGTGGATCACGGCCCCAGGACAGTTTCCGGCCCGTCTTCTATCCACCTGGCATGTGCCTTCATTGCCACTTCTGCGTCGGCCTCTGTTCACGCGTCCCGCTGCAGGCCCTCGCGTGCGCCCTGGTCGTGTGTACGGCAACGGCGCGAGGTCTGCCGACCGAAGCGAAAGGAGCCCACCATTTTTTTTTAAATATTGAAGGCCTTTTGGTCCTCCGCCTCGTTTCAGAGGGACCCATTTGAATCTGGGTTCCCCCCCCCCAGCCTCCTTTGTTCCTACTCTTCCTCCCTGCGCTGTTTCAGCACATTCCAGGTCTAGAATCCCTCTTCACACTCTCTTACACACACACCCGGGAGAACACAAAGCCTAAGCCCTCCCTCTCTGACTCACTCGCTCACAAGCACACAGAGACACCCGGGAGAACACAAAAGCCTAAGCCTCCTTCCAGTGTCCCACACGCATCCCATAATTCGCCGGGTGTGCACAATGCTCCTTCCCTTCCAGCGGCGCCCTCCTCTGCCCGGTGACGATGGGTCGCCTTGTTACCAGCGCCATGCAAAAAAAAGTTTCCCCACGGCCCTCCCTCCCCCCAATTTGCTCCGGAGATCGGAAGTCAGGATGGGTGCGACTGTCTCCGGAGCACGTACGGACAAGATTCTGTTTGCGAAAGAGGGAATTGGAGAGGGCTGGGTTTTAACGTAGCGACTCTTTCGGAGGAAAGATACATGTTTTCAGTGCGTTCCGAGTACAGTACATTCTGGGCGCGCCTTCTTAAGAGAGAGCCCGTTCGCCCTGTCCCTGAGTGGGGACGGGATGTTTTTATAAACTTCCTGGGGCTTGTTCCCCGTCCCCCGCGCCCCGTGGTCTGCTGAAAATACTAATTTTCGTTAGGGCATCTTTTAACCTGCGCCGAGGTGAAGGAAAACATGACGTAAGAGGCGGCCCCGGCTGCCTTCCTGCCGCCCCTCACGTTAACCCAGCCGAGTAACGGGTGGAGAACAATTACTCTGCCTCGATGGAACGCACGTTAAGGGTTTCGCCAAAAAGTTCCGAAGCGGGAAGGGCGACGGCGAGCAGCTCTGGCGGGAAGAAACAAGGGCTCTGTTCAGCTCAATGCAGGCGCGGGGGTGGGGGAAGGGAAGGGAAGGAAACGGGGAGCAAGGAAAGGGGGGGGGCTGGGAGGCCCGCGCTCGAGCCGCACCGTCGCCTCCCCTTCTCCGGGCCCTGATTCGGTGCCTCGGCTCAAGGCGGGGCCTCCTTATTACCATATGGGGAGGTATAAAAGCCAGGGCAAGGGCGCTTTCCCTCCTCACCTCCTCACTGCACTGCGGAGCTGAGTCAGGTCAGAGGCACGTCGGGTTAGAAGCCTCCCTCGGGCGGGGGAGGGAGGGAACGAGCGAGCAAGGCGGGGGGAAGGAGAAGGGAGAAAAAAGGGTGCGCCCGGTGTGCGTGGGGAAGGGGGGGGTCCTTCGGGCAGCCGACTGTCTTTGAGTTACGAGACTGCCGCTTCCCCTGGGGGAAGGTGGCCTGGCGGCTGGCTGGGGATTCCCGTAGGGCAGGGGGAGGCTCCCCGGAGTTTCCGGGCAAAGAGCGCCGTGCAAAGGAGTCGCGTCGCTCCTCCTCCGAAAAGTTTCCGCAGAGGCTCCGCGCTGGCCGGCTCAAAACAAACACTTTTGCAAAAGTTAAAAAAACACTTGCAGATTGGTTGGGGTTTGAGGGGCCCAAAAGAAAAGCATCGCCCGCTCTTAGAGTTGCCGCGCTGGATCCGTGTCGGGACTCAGGATCCGGCTCATCGAGGAGGGCGGGGTTGGTGGTGAGAGGTTTGGGCCCGAGAGGGTTCTTCTTGCGAGGAAGCGCCTTTCCAGGCGACCCCACACGCGGGAGTGGAAGGGCCGGGAAAGTTCTCAAAAAGTTTCGAAGGGTGGCTTGCGGGAGGGAAAAGATCCGCACCGCACGAAGCGGTGCCGGAAGGAAAAGTCGGGCGGCAGCGTTTCGCTCTTGCAACGCCAACCCCCGTCCCAACTCGGGCAAAACGTTTCTTTCCCTTTTCGGAATTGATCTGCCACCACCACCCCCGCCCGGCCCGGTGCTGGGCGTGGAAGGGCTTCTCGTGCAAATCAAACTTTCCGAGTGTTTTTTTCTCACGGAAGGGCTGGCAGCCGGGTGGAGGGGAACTTTCGCCCCGCCGGGACCCACTCCGGACCCGGCGAGGGACCTCCTGGGCGTGCCTTGGAAAGGGGGGAGGGAAGCGACTCCAGGATCCGGTGGAACTCATCCCTCGGGCTTTTTCTCTTTAGGAGCAACTATTTTCAGAGACTGAAGATGAAGAAGGTCGGCGTGAACGGGTGAGTCCGGAGGGGATGGACGTGCAGCCAGGCTGCCTCGACATGGCAGGGAGAGGAGGAGGAGAGGAGGGGCTTGGGAGGGGGGAGGCCTGCTTGCGGGGGGGGGGGGGGGGCCCTTCCTCTGAAGTGCTGGGAGAACCGCCGGGCCAATGGGGATGCTTGTCCTCCGGCTGCCTGGCCCCCCTCTTCGCTTGGCCTCAGCACTTTTTGGGATGGCAGGACGAGATCGCCTGGCTGGCCGGCCACCCTTGTCCTTTGCAAGGACGCCTGAAGGTCACCCTGGCCTGCCTCTTCTCCCAAGCAGCTGCGGTCCTAACAAAGAGGCTGCTTGTCTGGCTGCTGGGGGCAGCTGTTCCCCCTGCGACAGGTGGCGCCTGCTGGGGTTTTTTCATGTAAAATGCACACAGACACATACCCATTTGATCTTTGTGCACAGAGGAGCATGTGGGGGAAAGTGGTGGTGAGATGGGCCCTTGAACTTGAGGAGGAGGAGTAATGTGATGGGGATGTGAGTCAGTTTCCTGAGTGTGAGTGCTGAGTCACACCCAGGAGGAAGCAGCACATAAGTAGCAAGCACATGGAGGTCCCCTCTGCCCTGCTTTCGTTGCCCTCTCTTGCCTTTTCCTGAGCCTCTAAAAGGCCTTTATTTTATATATGGCTGAGAGGGTTGTGTGTCAGATGGTCCAGGGAGCCCACAAAGAATGTGACCTTCTTCTTGTATCAGTTTAGAGCCCCAGAACTGTAATCAGATCACTCTGCCACTCTGTGGCTGGGGAGACAGAGCTGGCTCTAAAGTTAGTGCCTGACCTTTCTGGAGGACGAGGTGGCGCGAAGCAGGAGAGGTTTGCAGAGAAAGGTAGCCCAGAACGAGGCTGCCATCTCCAGATGCAACTTGAGAAACCTGGCCTCAGCAATGCCTTGACCCGGCTTATGAAATGTTAGGAAAGATCCCTTCTGTAGAGCCCCATTGCTCAGCAGCAGGAAGCTCTACACTTTGGAAATGGAAAGCTCTCTGCCCAGTTCCTGGCTTCCCTGGAGGTCTCCGGTTGCAGGGCTGGGAAAGTTAGGCACTTAATTCAGTCCTGGAAGGTGAACCTGTAAAAGGCAGTGACTTTTCAAGTGGATGAGCTTGCCAAGCAGCCATTTTAAGTGAGAAAAATCTGTGCCACCCAACTCTTTCCTGTTCCCCCTGCTAGAAGGGAGGAAGGGCTTAAAGGGAAAGTGACCACGAAATGGGATAGTGATGGTGGTGGAGGAGAAAAGGTGGCCTTAATAATAATCTCGGAATCTCTCTCTTTATCTGTTCTGTTTTGTGTTAATGTAGGACACCCTTACTTCATATTGTTTTTATTATGTGTTTGTGAGCCGCCCAGAGTAGACTGTGTCTAAATAGGCGGCACATAAGCTCAATAAATAAATAAACAAACTGCAGAGCTGAAAGGGACCCTGTGGATCATCAAGTCCAGCTCCTCCAGCTCCCAACCTCTGGCTCCACAGTCTGATAACTAAATCACTGAGCTATCCAGCAGTTCCTGGTCTCATGAAAAGATGCTCTCTGTCTCCAGAACAAGCCCTTGACCATGTGACAACCCCCCACCCCCAGCAATTGCTACTTGGAGCTGGTCTCATGAAAGGATGCTCTCTGTCTCCAGAACAAGTCCTTGACCATGTGACACCCCCCCACCCCCAGCAATTGCTACTTGGAGGGCTCTGAAAGGCAGACAAGGTGGTCCATGGCTCCCTGCTGGCCCTGTTCCTGGCCTGAGTGAGGTCTTAGGGCTATCAGCTGCCAGCATAAGGCAAACACAGCCACTAGGCACTGGTTCTGGGCAAGTGAGGATGATATGAGGGGCAGAGGGAGGACCACAAGTCTGAAATGAAGCACTTGATTTCAAGGAGGTGTGTCCATGTGTTTTTCTTATAACAGCACTATCTGAATCTCAGAAAGAATTGGTTAAGGCAAGAAATCCATTTGGAATGAAACTTGCGTTTTACACCATGTGCCCAGCTTTTGTTTTTAAAGTGCAGCATCTCCTTTTCCTTCCCTCCCTCATTTGAACCTCAGAACTTCCCCGGGGTGTGTGTGTTTCTGTTGAGTCTCCCTTGTAGAGCAGTGGATGCTAAGTAGAGAGTTGGGTTTTTTGGCCATCCTAAAACAATGACTCTTGCTGTTGTCTGTCTTTCTTTAGATTTGGCCGCATTGGCCGTCTGGTTACCAGAGCTGCTGTAAACTCTGGAAAAGTCAATGTCGTGGCTATCAATGACCCCTTCATTGATCTGAATTACATGGTGAGATTTTACAAATCATGTCCTTGGTGAGACCTGACACACACACCACTGATACTCAAGGCAAAACTCATTAAATATTCTCCCACCCCACTATTTCCCAGAATTTAGATGGCACACGTGTGTGCGCGCACACACACACATATATACATCTGTATGTACACATACACACACAGAATCCAGAGTCTATAAGTACAGTGGTACCTCAACTTGAGAACATCGCGCGCACACACACACATACATACACCTGCATGTACACATACACACATACAGAATCCAGAATACAGTGGTACCTCAACTTGAGAACTTCCCTACATAAGTACAATTTGAGTTAAGAATGGCTCCGTTAGCAAAAAGTTGTTTCGACTTGAGAATGGAGCTGCGACTTAAGAACCAAAGAAAAAAAACTTTCCTGCCCCTTTTTGGAAAAAACTTTCCTGCCCCTTTTTTTGATCTAAGTTCACCTTAGGTCAAAAGAATAAAAAAAATATAAAAATGCCCCCTAGTGGTAGAGTACGGATTAACCGGCTTTGCATTAGTTCCTATGGGAGCTAATGCTTCGACTTAAGAACAGCGCCTCGACGTAAGAACGAAAAACAGCAGATACGGATTAAATGGTTTTCAATGCATTCCTATGGGAAATGATGCTTCAACTTAAGAACGCAGTCCCAATATGGATTAAGTTCTTAAATCGAGGTACCACTGTAAAACACAATTGGGTGTGATAGGGCAAGCATACCAGAGACTTCAGAACAACAGGGGGAGCCCACATAGGACACTAATCACCAGCTACACCCATTAGAAAAAGCCAGGCTGTTTAAATCTTCTGTGGTAAAAATATCTCCAGGCAATTTTTCTTCTGCACCCATGTGTCCAGAGGACTGAAAATTCTGGGTCTGTTTAGAAAGGGTGTAATTCTGGTGGTTTCTGTGATTGCAGCCATACTTCGTATCTTGTTTCTTGCTGCAACATCAACCAAAATAATGTGTTTTCCATTTCTCTCCTCTGTTTCTCCCAAGTGTGAGTGGACCTGGGATGGGGGAGGGGGACAGTTTTGGGGGGTGAGTTGGCAGGTAATGGGGAGGGAGGGATTACACTGGAGCCAGATTACAAGGAGCGGGACTAACCCATGTGTCTCTTGTTTTAGGTCTACATGTTTAAATATGACTCCACTCATGGCCGTTTCCATGGCACTGTCAAAGCCGAGAATGGGAAACTGGTGATCAATGGAAATGCTATCACAGTCTTCCAAGAGTGAGTTAACACCCCCTCCATGTCCCATTTCCTTTCTGGGCCAGAATCCTTTAGCTCCTATAACATGGAGGGTAAACTTTCAAAATCCATTAGCCTTGTTAATAACACCACTGTTGCCTTCTGTACCCCGTTTCACTGTTCCCAACTGCCAGAAACCTGTACACAGTATATATAAACCTGTAACCTAAGGGTTGTGTTCTGTCTGTTTGGAAACTGTGAGCTCTCAATGCCAGAAAGCTCCAACTCCAATCAGTCTCCTGGTTTTTAAAGTGCCAGGGCACTTGGGGGTGTGTGGAGGTTGTTGTGTTTTGTTGCTTTTCATACTGAAGTAGACGAACACAGCTGTCTCTTTCTATGCTAAATGGCCCCTTTTTCTTTGCCAGGCGCGATCCTGCCAACATCAAGTGGGCTGATGCTGGGGCAGAATATGTTGTGGAGTCTACTGGCGTGTTCACCACCACAGAGAAGGCCAGCGTAAGTAATCGGCACAGGTAGAGAAAGAGGGTTTGGGAATTTTTTTATGGCCCTTGGAAAAGAGTGGAGATGGAGAGAGACGAGGAGATTCATTCATGCAGCCTTTTTGCGCCTCTGGAGAGAGAAAAAGGCATGGGACTGAATCAGTGGAGTAGTAGAGTCGAGCAAAGATCATCCAGTGGTTTAGAAACCAGTCTGTACAACTCAATAAAGGGTGTCTGGATCTATTGAGTCAAGAAATTGTAGTCTAGTTTATCTCTTAGAGGGAGTCCTTAGCTTACACTATTGTGAGATCCCCTGTGCCCCTCCCCCAGGCTTTTCTCTTCAGTCCTTCACTTGGCTAGCACTGATCAGGTTTGAAGGATTGAAACAATTGTCTTCATCCATGTGGTTGCAAGGTTTAAGTGGGACCTTTTTGACATTCCTCTTTACCCGGTTTCTCCGAAAAGAAGACCTAACCTGAAAATATGCCCTAGTATGATTTCTCAGGATGCTCTTAATACAAGCCCTACCCCCCAAAATAAGCCTCAGTTAAATGAAACCCCGCCCTCCACCCTTGTGTAGAAGATGACATGACTGCATTTGAATAAATGTAGATGGTTGTACATGAAAAAAATAAAACATCCCGTGAAAATAAGCCCTAATGCATTTTTGGAGCAAAAATTAATATAAGATCCTGTCTTATTCTCAGGGAAACAGGGTAGCTGACTTTGTGTGCTTGCATAACCTATCTTGCTTTAATGAGTGTTGTGGAGAAAAGGAGCAGGGGAGCGATGGGGTGTTTTGTTTTGGTGATGGTGGTGAAGCTATATAGTGGGAGGTTCAGCACAGAGGTGTTCATGTCCACGTAGCCCATAGTAGAATTAGAGAATTCACTGCCACAGGAAGTGGTGATGTTTTTAAAAGCAGATTAGGCAACTTTAATAAATAAAATTATTAGTGGCTACTGCTAGTCAGGATGGGAATTTGAGACAGTGTCATTCACTGAGCACTAATGACAGGTTAGTGACTTTTGAGGACACAGAGTCTCTGCTAGATGGGTCTTTATTTTCACCTAGCACAGTCTGCATGTTTTGTTTTTTCAAAGTGCTAATGTTCTTGTTCTCTTCCCAGGCTCACCTGAAGGGCGGTGCTAAGCGTGTAATTATCTCTGCCCCATCAGCTGATGCCCCCATGTTTGTGATGGGTGTCAATCATGAAAAATACGATAACTCTCTGAAAGTTGTCAGGTGAGTATCCCAAGTGGTACTGTGGCCATTGCAGTCAGAAGCGGAGTCCTTCTCTGCCCCTGTTAGCTTAAGGCCAGAAGGTGCTTGTAGAAAGGGCCAAGGAAATGCCTGATTCTCTGTTTCTCCTTTACTTCCAGCAATGCTTCTTGCACTACCAACTGCCTGGCTCCCTTGGCCAAGGTCATCCACGACAATTTCCACATTATTGAAGGCCTTATGGTAGGTGAACTGGCATGCTTGTCACTTCTCATGCTCTCCCCTTGCTAGTAGAGGCCCCCCCCCCGTCTTCCTCTCAAGACATCAATGCAATGCGAACACCTGGTCCCTTCTAGGATGCCCCAGGGCCTTGTTGGACACTTTAGCTGTTTTAAAAAATCAGCCTCTAGCCCTCCTGCAGGTATGGGGCAAAGCATGGGTGCTTTTTCTTTCCTAGTGCCCAGAAAGAAATTCTGCATTATAAAATTAAAAACATAATCAAAACTACCCATATTTACATTTTCATTTACCTGCTGCAATACTTTGGCCAAAATCCTGCTGGAATATCTGGCGGTGCGATGCTGATCATGCAAGCACTTTGCACCATTTCATGGTGTGTATCTGTTGCACAGCTAGTTGTGCAGTGGTTCCTCCTTCAAATGGTATGACTAGCAGGTATGATTAATTTCACTCACAAATATTTCAACATGATTGTAATCTTTGTCCTTTTTTGGCCAGAGGTGGACAGTTGTGTTATTCTATACACGAAGACAACTCCCATCAGGTTTGGCCATAGTAGCAGTGATTGGAGTTGCAGTGTGAAGTCGTCTCCGGTGCCATAGACGGACCTCCATTTCTGCTTTAATTCTGACTAGTTTTAAAGACCCTCAGGAGTTATTAGGGAGATTTTTTCCCTAAAAGTGTGTAGGTTTGTGTGATGATACCTCCTAGTATTCCCCAAGCAGCAGTGTAGTCCCAAAACCTGCATCTGTACTCTTCTTTTCTGCGTGCATATCTTGTTCTGAGCTTGGCCACACTGATGAGAGGCAGATCAGGAGGAAAAAGATGACTGAAATGGAAAGATGTACCACTCAGAGCATCAGGGCGGGGCAGGATATGACAGTAGTACAAAACAGTTAATGGTTGGGCTCTTGACTAAAATGATCCTCCTTGGTCCTTCTACTCCAGACCACAGTCCATGCCATCACAGCTACACAGAAGACTGTGGATGGTCCATCTGGAAAGCTGTGGAGGGATGGCAGAGGTGCTGCCCAGAACATCATCCCAGCATCCACAGGTGCAGCTAAGGCTGTTGGCAAGGTCATCCCTGACCTGAACGGGTAAGTCCTCATGGCTTGTTCTCCTATGCCGTTAGGCTTCCTTGAGGAATAGGAAATTGGAGGGACTCACAATGAAGGATCTGTAACACTCTAACCTGGGTCTTCTTATACACACACACAGAAAACTCACAGGGATGGCTTTCCGTGTCCCAACTCCAAATGTTTCCGTTGTGGACTTAACATGCCGCTTGGAAAAACCAGTGAGTACCTTGGAACCTGAATTACCTTTTCCCACAGGGCTAGTTAATTGGGTAGAATACAGTCCTTGTAGATGCCATTGGACTGCACGTCCGCAGCATCCCTCAGCATCAGGGGCGCTAACAAGCGTTGAGGGGGGTTGGCAGTCTAGCACTGCAAGCTGCCTGCTGTTGCTCATAACAGCCGTAGGAGCCCCGTGTCCCGGATTGGGCTGTAGGCTTGCATGTTCACCCGGTAGGAGCTGCACTGTGAGGTATCCATTAATATATTGCTGTGGGTCTCCTCCTTGACCCACACCCTCTCCTTGCATTGTGGTAGGAAGGTAAGCTGTAAGCATTTCCAGTACAAAGCTGAGGCAGTGCCCTCTTGGCAAATGGTGGGCAGCCCTTGGCTATCGTAATTGTGCCAAGTCCCTCTTGTCAAAGGGCAACACGATAAAAATGGGTACATGAAGAAACTAGAGTCTGAGGGTTATTAATATTTGGCACTTCTGCCATTTTTTCACAGGCTAAATATGATGACATCAAGAAAGTTGTAAAGGCAGCTTCTGAAGGCCCCATGAAGGGCATCCTGGGATACACAGAGGACCAGGTGAGCTGAATTCTCCCATGTGTGAAACATTTATTGTGAAGCAGCTTCTTCTATCATGTTCATGATATGAAAGATGTTGCATTTAGGGAAATGGGTGAATAATTGGTCATGCACAGTTTTTTTTTCTTATCCTGCTCCCCGCGTTCCTTGGGATTAACAACGTGTGCACAACTTCAACCATAATATTACAAAACCATTTTATCTTGAATTCACTTGAGTAAATCCATGGGATGTTCATCAAGAGTGTTAGGAAAACCGAGTGGCTCAGCATTGGCATGTCTCTGGTGAGTCTCATCTTCTGTTTCTCCTACAGGTGGTCTCCTGCGACTTCAATGGCGATACCCATTCTTCCATCTTTGATGCAGCTGCTGGCATCGCTCTCAACGATCACTTTGTCAAGCTGGTCTCCTGGTGAGAAATGGGGCTTGACTACGAGTTTGCTAGAGAGTTAGACAAGCAGGGTGATCAAGCCTGCCGTTTTAGAATTCTACAAATCCAGTAATTTGCTGGATTTTGTAAGAGTGCCTCTTCAGTATAGATGAAAGAATATATGGGGACTGGAGGGTTTTTTCCATTATTTTCACACTGTTTTCCTGCTTTCGTTTCCAGGTATGACAATGAATATGGATACAGCAACCGTGTGGTAGACTTGATGGTTCACATGGCATCCAAGGAGTAAAGACAAGACACGCCATTTGCCTTACAACTTGGCTCTGTAGTCTTTTGCAGTTAAGAGGCTCTCTGTTCCATCTGCCTCTTGAGGAAGGGGAGAAGCGGGAAGAAACAGTGAAATGTTTCAGTAACACCACCCCTCTCAATAAAAAAGTCATCACTGTCTCAAGTGTTTGCTTTCTTGCTTCTTATTGTGAAGGAGAGGAAGGGATGAAGGCCTGGGTCCCTCAAAATCTTTTAGAGGCCTGACTGCTGACAGCCGCCCCCAACTCCCACCAGGCAGGCTTTTCATCATCTCTTTTATAAGTGTCCTATGATAACTAGCTACATGATGGGTCTGTTGCGTGTCATAGCATCTTTTTTTCGCCCTGTGTGAAAGGTTAGCTGCTGTATTGATGCTGCATTGCTGTGGGACAGTTAATGGAATGTAAAGATGCTTTGAAACAAAACAGCTGCTGCTCACCTCAAAAAGATTTTTTTTTTACACAAGGAAGGGAAAGGGGTCTTGGCAACCTGAGAGTTTCAGGTGCTCTGAATGCTGCTGGCTGCAACGTTTAAGTCTATGATTATGGTTGCTGTTACAGTATCCCATAAACGTAGCCATTTGCTGACTAATTGGCCAAGAAAGGGAAGCCAGATGACGCATAATTCAATCAGGGTGTTTTTTGTTTTTAATAAATGGCAGTTTTGCCTTTGGCTATTACATTTTATACATCTTCAGAAACAACTGTTTTTCTCGAATTCAAAAATGCATGGTGAGGTGATGCGTTTTGGTCAGCCTAATGTTAAAAAAACAACACAGAACCACAAAAAATGTGCACCAGTGGGGTGAGTTTTTAAAAGAAAGTGAGTTTTCTGTTTCAGGAAGGAATACAAGAGGGCTGCAAATAAAGAGCAGAGCCTCAGCAGGTGATTGCAGCAATGTTCATTGCCCTGCGGCTAATGGACCATTAAAAAAAAGATTTGGCCTTCCTCCTCAGTGTAAAACCTCTGAAAATGAACTCAAAAGTTGTGGCCATCCTGCCTCCTGGTTACATGGACTTGTTGCTCAGTAGAAGAGAGATGCTGAGTGAATTCTCAAGCGTTCCTCTAGGGAAAGTTCCAGAAGTTTGTTCTAACACATCAGGCAAAAAAAAAAGAAAAAAATTGTGGCACCTTATAACTGTTATATTTTAACATGAGCTTTTGTGGACAAATCCCTCTTCCTCAGATATCTTACACGCAGAAAGCTTACATTAAAATATAACAGGTGTCTTCGCAAGGGAAAGTAGCCATGCCTTGGCTATGATAACAAATGCCAACATAAGCAAATGCCCTAGGTATCCAGTTCAGATTGATCACGGTTGACCTCTGCTTTCTTTAATAAGTGATAACCACTAAGGAATGGAAGCCCCCTTTTCCATCTTCTGTTTTGGTGCCCCCCGACCTTAAGAAAGTTTTAATGCAGGATATTTGAGGTCCAGGCCTCCTTCCTCTGCTCTAACTAGACCCAATTAAGCACATGGATGAAAATAGTTTATCTCACTTGGAACAAATGAAGTTCACTCATTTCTGTTGGGATGTCCTGTGTGGGGTGTTAGATGTAAAACCGTAGAACGAGTGAGACCTGAGTTTGGATGCCTACTCGGCCACAGAGACACCTTGGCAGGTGACAATGATAAAACCTTGAATACTGCATGTGCTTTGAAAGGCGTAGTAGAGTTGACATAAGGTGGCACGTAATAAATAACATGGTGTCTGGAAAAAAATCAATGGTGTGCCTACACAGGCCTGGGCCCCCCATGAGTGGGTCAGGCATCCCCAACCTGTGTGTTGGTCTGTTTGCATGTTTCTCAGCAGCAGAATCAGTCAAGCAGCGTCTATAGTGAAGAGGATTGTGGAGAGGAGTTCCCTGCTGAAGTTTCTGCCATGTCAATAAACTGGAAGGTTTCAGCCCTGGATACTAACCCATGTCAGCCCAACAACCCTTTTGAGAGGTATGGAATTCAGCACTCTCTTGGTCTCCCCTTTTTGATGTGGTCTATCCGGATGATAATTGCTGGACAGTGTAAAAGCTCTCTATCCAAAAGCAGACCTGCAATGTAATCATTGGTCACTGTAATTTTTATTTTTATTTTTTTCATTTTAAGGCAAGGAATACTGATTCCCAGTGTGGTGTAAGAAATCAGACTAAGACTCAGGAGACCCGGGTTTGAATCTCCACTTGGCCATGAAAACTCACTGGAGGGGAGTGGAACTGGTAAAACCACTCCTTAAGTAGCTCACCTACCTTGAAAATCCTCTTAGGGTCACTATAAGTTGGTTCCAACTTGATGGCACAGGATACACACAAACATACTGCCTTACCTTTCATTATAATGGCGAACACACAGAGACAGTAGTGTTAAGGAATTGTTTTTAAAAATGTGCAAAAGACAAGTGGAACGGATTCTGAAAGTTAATTACTTGACTCAGTGTTTAACAAAGCCTTGCCTTGCAGCACCTTGACAACTGAAAGATAAATTTCAGACTGAGTTTTCATACGGAGGAACATGGAGCGGGCTTCCTTTTTTTACGTGCCTCAACACCAGCATATAGTAATGAGTGGAGGTTTCTAGCCTACTGATGTCTAGTCCACATTAAGACATAAGGGCTGTAGGAATAGACTCCTGCTGTGGGAACATCTGCATGCCCACAAGCAATAGTGGAAAATTCAGTGATTTATTTAAAAATCATGTTGTACTGAAGCCTCTAGAGGGCACTGCAGTTACACCCCACTTACCCTTGTGTTGCTGAAGTCACAGAAAGTACAGTGGTGCCTCGCATAACGAGCGCACTGTTTAACGACGAATCCGCATAGCGATGCAGATTTTGCGATTGAAAAAGTGACCACATTGCGATGTTTAGATAGGGTAAACATCGCATTGCAATGATCGGTAAGCGTTTCGCTTACCGATCTTTGAATTGCGATGTTTTTAAACAGCTGATCGATGGTTCCAAAATGGCCGCCAGATGAAGAAAATGGCCGCCTGCAGCATTTTCGCGCTGATTCCTCACTTCCCGAGGTGGCGAAAATGGCGGCCGGATTGAGGATTTCCCCTTAGCGGTGAGTTTTGTCCCCATAGGAACGCATTAAATGGAGTTTAATGCATTCCTGTGGGGTTTTTAGCCCCGTATAGCAATGTTTCCAGATAGCGACGCTTTTCCTGGAACAGATTAACGTTGCTATGCGGGGAACCATTTGTATTGTCTTTACCATGTCTCTGCTACATTAAGTAATATGACTAGGCAGTGCTAGAAATGGCCCAGTCCAGAGGAACACACTCTTGTTTTAAGGGGAGACCTCCTATTTCATTAGACGTAGGTTCACTAATCTGAATTCAGTGGGAGTCCCCATCTAGTTGGTCTATCCTGAATTAGGTGTGGGGTCTGAAACTCTTCTTTCTGGGGGCAACTGGTTCAGTGGCTGCTGTCCAGGACAGAAACAACTAGGGCTTGAAGCAGAAAGGAGGATGAGGTAATTTGAAGGCGGCTTCATCATGGAAGAGAGATTAATGTTACCACATCTCCCCTCACAGTTAGTTGATGGCAATAATAATCCAAGTGTGATGATGTGAAAGGCCTGCTTTGTGGTGCTTTCGCTCGTCTCCAAAGACTGTAGGGAGGTAGTCAAAGGTAGACTCTTCTGGGAGAGGGTGGCCAATGTTTGGATGCTTTAAAAGATCTCTTTGACTGTTGGGTGAATAGTTGGCAGACTGCCTGATCGCTCAAGGAGCAAAAAGTTCTCCTGGAGATGTCTAGGCAAGTGTAGCTCAGGGGAAATGCCTGTAGCAATTTCCAAATTGTGAGACACTTTTGTCTCCAAAAGGAGGGAGAATGCAGGGCTGTGCTTCAACACAGCCTGTGCACAGAGTTGCTTGGACTGCTGAGGGATAGTTAAAAACAGGCTGCTGTCTAAAGCTGAACACTCAGGCCGGGAAGGGCAGGCTCTCTACTGACCACGCTCAGCAAAATTATCATTCTGGAAATCAGGCTGAGGCAGACACTGCAAATACAAACAGAACCTTCTGACATCACCTCTTGATGTCACCGCCAGGAGAAATTCCAGTTCTTGCCAAATGGAGAGGCCATTAACAGGTCAGCTACGGCACCAGGCCATCAGATGGATCTTTCTGACAGGTGACAAACAAGCTTCTTTGGGGGTTATGGTGACTTTCACCATAGAGGGAAAGCTCCAGAAGAATCCATGTTCGTGCACTGCAAAGGGTTACCAGAGGAAAGCATGCCTTTTAGTATGCCCTGAGTATGATGCCATCTTCAAGCAGCAGAGAACTTTGATTACTTCTCTCTTTGAGTGTACAGTCTTCAGTTTAAAAAACAACAACACTAAAATAACAACAACCCTGCATAATCCAGTCTACTGCTATGCAACTGAGTGGGTAAAACCTAGAACCATCTGAGGTAAATGAGAGTTGGTATAGGAGCTCTACACAGGATAGGAGTGAGCAAGCTGAAAGATACTTCCTGAGGCCTGAAAAAACTGAATCTTTGACCACCCTGCATCCTGAGCCTCAGGCCTGGGCCTTCTGTCTGCATGACAAGCCATCCCATTCTGTCTGCTTGACAAACCATGATGGAAAAGCAGTTGCCTGAAGCTAACTAGAGATCCATCCAGCTGTCACTCACAGGGATACTCCTTGGAGTAAGTGAAATTCTGCTGTAAATTCTGCTCCTTCAGAAGGATCCCTCATCCCCCAGAGCAGATGCTTCTTTCTTTCTTTGGCTCCTTGAAAAGAACTGGTAGCCATGTCCAGATTTGGGTATCTTCCACTGTTTGTGAGATTTTTGTGGCATGGGGTGGCTGTACCTGAAAACAAATGTAACAAGTCCCTTTCTGAGGTAACCTTGTCCTTTGACAGAGAGAAGCAGCGAGTTGGAGGGGGTGGGTGTGCCATAAAAGGGTAGCTTATTGTTTTAGCATTGTGTATTTTCACTTCTAGGAGGACACGTTTGTGCTCTTGTCTACCAAAGTAGCTCCCTCTAGAGTCCAGTTCTGGTAAATACATCATGGTTTTTATTTATTTAATATTTCCAGGCAGCAGGTAAGTGAATCTATGGAAACCAATCTTGCAGATGGGGTGGTGGTGGTTCCTACTGTAACTTATAGCAGAATTTTAAAGAAATGCTCAG